CACTTGCCACCTCACCTCGTCCCACCCACCTTTCACGGGCAGAATTACGAACCAGCCCCTACACCACCGCCGTCCGATCCCGAGCTCCAGAAGCGCATCGACAAACTGGTCGAGTACGCCGTGAAGAATGGGCCCGAGTTCGAGGCCGTTGTCCGCGAAAGGGAACAGGATAACCCTGCCTACGCCTTTCTCTTCGGTGGGGATGGCCATAGTTACTACCGTTACAAGCTCTTTGTGTCAACAAGGCCGTTTAATCCTCCTTTCCCGCCTTCAATCCCGGCCATGCATCCTCCTCCCAATCCCATGATGGGCCTTGGGCCCGTTAATGCTCACCTACAGCAGCCTCAGTTTGGGGTGTATTACGAACAGCAGCAGCTCACTCATCCAGCTCAGCCGATGGTGGGCCCTGGCCGCCCTGAATTACTCGATCAGGCTTACGGCAGGCCTTTCAAGGGTCTTTCCAGGCCACTGCCTTTGGATGTGGAGATGGAGATGAACGGGATCCTGAACAACTTGACAGGTACGAAAGAGTCGATAAAGAGCGCGAAGACTTGGTTTATGCAGAGGTCGCCCTTTCTGCCGGCTTTGGCTGAGGCGCTTCGGGACCGGGTGTTCTCGTTGGACGATTCTGAGAGGCAGCTGCATATTGTTTACCTTGCGAATGATATTCTGTTTGACAGGTTGGTTTTTGGTGGTTTTAAATTTTTGTAATTTTTTTTTCTTTTTCTTAGATTGTGATCGTCTCTATTTGAATGTACGTTAGCATGCTTTGATGTGTTTTTACTCGTGTACTACATATAATAGTGCAGAACTTGAGGATGGTTTGTGCATATGTGATTTCAGATTATATGAAATGTTTCTGGGAATCTTTCTTTTTATTAATTTACAATCAGTTGATTCTAGTAATGTGAATTTGGGGACCAATGACTCAATGAGCCAGGCTGAAAATATTANTTTGTCAACACTAGCTACTGGAAGTACTTTGACATAACAAGTGCTGATTATCAACTAGAACACACCATGTATGCCCCGTAGTTCTTAAGTGGGGTTGTGGTTTCGTGTGCCCCAACTTTCCACTGCTGTACCTTTTTTTGTGCAAGTAGGTTTACTATCCATTTTAGGTGTATCTGGGCTATGATTGGATTTTAGTTAATGGATTTATTTTGGCCATGTCATGTTTGAAACTATCTCTGATATTTTGCTTCTATTATGAGGACTGCCTAGAAAAACCATGTGCTTTAAATGATTATACTTTGTGATTATAGCATAATATAGCATAAGGGAAGCACATCTTGAGAACTCAATTTTGTATTATCACATATTTACATATGATTCCTCAAACATACAGCTTGCAGAGGCGTGTCAACCCTCAGGAGCTCGACAATGAGGCCCTTGCATTTAAACCGGTTTTGGGTTCTATGCTGGCAAGGATATGCCAAAACCCACAGAACAAGGATGAAAACCAGTCACGTCTTCAGAAAATTTTGCAATTCTGGGCCACAAAGGAGGTTTATGATCAGGATACTATTTTTAGGCTTGAAAATGAGATGATGAGTGGATTGCCACCACATCCTTTTTCAGGTCCTCACACAGATGCATCTGCTGTTGCTGGAGCCACGCCAGGTAGCTTCACTTTGCCAAACTGTTTATTTATGGGTCATTATGAAAAACACGAGGTTTAGATTAATTACATAGAACTCCAATTATATCTTTGAATTATAATTTATAAATGTACCCTTAAAGTGTTACAAGCAACCCCCCTCCCACTTCCACAAGGTTCCATTTGAAGTAAAGAAATTTAATTGGGGTTTCTATTTGGGAGAATCTCAGCAAAGGACTTAAAAATGTAGTTTGTTTTGTCTCAGTTCTGAGCTTCATTTCTTCCCCCCCTAACCCCCTCTTAAATTGGGCTTGAATTTTCCTTTTCTTTCTCCACAGTGGTTTTATTATGTATGAGACTCGGTTTGGGAACAAAAAAATATTACCAGTCTCAAACTGAGAATTGAAAATTTGAATGCTAATGTGAGAAAAACAACTAAATTTGCATCCTGATCGAGAAACTTGGAGAAATTGGGCAACACATAAGTTGGGACAACTAAAATTTGGTTGGTCCCTCACTATGCATGCTACTCATTTTTTCTGAACATCAAAAATGTTGTTTTCAATCAAGCATCTTAGACATGGATCATTAACGATAATAATCCGTCTCCGTAACATATAATAACAACTCTTTTTTCTGAACTCGAGTAAATCTGTCAGTGTAAAACACTAATCTTTCTACTTCTTGATCAGAATAATCTAACGATTACAATTCGCGTCTCTGCCCCTCTGTCCTGACAGGAATGCACCCGATGTCTAACCATAATCAGCTGCATTGGCAGGCAGACAAGCAAAAACCCATACCCGACGAAGAATATCCCGAGAAGCAGGCTCCCTCAATTCCCCCCCTGCCACCTCAGCAGTTCCACCCCCCTCCCGTCAGCTTCACTCCCATCCCACAGCCAAATCTCCAAACCCCTCCACCAAAAATGCCTCCCCCATACCCTCTTTTCCCTCCTGGCCTCATTCCTGGCATGGTTCGGAAAATGCAAATCGGAAGTGGAGTTCCATACTCACCCATGAGCCCACTCGACATCCCCACTATTATCCCTCCCTCAACTGTACCCCCTTCTGAAGTCCTTGAAAGGGTCTCGAAATTCTTTAGGGAGATTGGTGAGGTCAACCCGTCTGTTAATCAGACGGAATCTGGTGATGATGAGTACGTGAGAGAAGAAGAGTTTGTTGTACGCAAGGGAGGGGCGTGCATTCCACCGCCACCGGGCCTGAATGATGATGATGTCAGCGCGGAGCAGAAGCCCGGTTCTGGCAGGCTAGGGCTTGGGGCGGCAGCTGACTCGAACGAGCCGAGCCAGTATGACGATGTGTACTCTTCGTATAGGAAGCAGAGAAGCTCTAATTACCACACGTCCATGACTGCAAGAGCGTCGACAAGGTGAAAGGAGGTGAGAGATCGAAAATGAAAGAAAGCAACTATGTATTCTGCAAGTCCGATATGGTTCTTGAAAATCCTTTTGTGCGCGAAACGGATGTT